ACGCCCAGTGCAGGGGGCTGAACCCATGGTCGTCCCTGCAGGGCGGCGGGGGCTCTGCTCAGCTGTGGCCCCCTGTAGCCCCGGGCATCCCTGGCATCATTCTCACAACACCAGCGGCAGGGCCAAGGGACCGGGCTGAACATCCATCCCACTCCCACCCCCACCAGGGCCCCACCAGCCCAGGCCAAATCCTGTCTCCTCCAAGGCTGAATCACAGCTGGATACTGTCCCCATCCCCCCACTCCATGGCCAAGTAAGGGAGGAGGTGGCAGCCAGGCCTTAAATGGAGATCAGGAACTGGCAGAGGGGCTGCTGCAGTCCCGGCTCCCCTCCAGCCCAGCTCCCCCTGGTCCCAGCCCCGCTGCAGCCCCCTGGCACAGCAGACCCCATTTGTCCCCACCATGGCCCTGCAGGCAGGGGCTGCCCAGCACAGAACAGTTCCTTGGGCACTTCTGTGGGTCTGGGAGAGCTCCACGTGCCTGGGACCCCCAGGAGGGGCAGGGAGGCCTGAGCAAGGGCAGCCATTTGTCTGGAGCCTGTCTGGAATGCCAGGGCCGTGGCCTGGCTGGGGTCAGGGTGCAGGGTCGCCCTGCGCCAGCTCACACACTGCAGGCAGATGCTCCAAGCCCCAAGCCTGGCCCAACCATGCTCCTGAATGGCTGTGAGCAGTGCTGGACCCCACGGTGCTGTGAGACCCCTCCAACGGGCTGTGGGGAGCAGAGCCCTGGGCACGCAGAGTGGCCCCCACAACTCCCAGCCCAGCTGTGTGCCCACACGTGCGCCACGGTGCTCCCCAGAGAGGAGACGGGGACACGAGGACAAGGTCAGGGGACACAGCCGCCACCACAGGGACGGGGGAGGCAGCCCCAGCCCAGCTGATCCCGGTCGTGGCCCTGAGGAAGTGGCCAGAGGATGTTTGGCCTCGTGCCTCAGCGATGCGGTAACTTCCTGCAGCGGGGAGGAGCTGCGTCCTGCCATCTGCCCCTGCCTTTCCATGGGGACAGCGGAAACCAGCGCCCCGCAGAGCCCCCAGCCCCACTCACCCCTGGTTGAGGTCGTTCTCGGTGTTGTCCAGCCACAGCCGCACGGCCACCGCGTTGCCCTCCCGGCACTGCGTGAAGATGTCGTCCATGGCAGCTGCGGGGGGGCGTGGGTGAGGACATGGGGACAGAGCCCGATGCCCCTCGGCAGGGAGGGCCCTGGAACAGCAGGTACAGGAGCCTCCTGCCCGTCCCCGTCCCTGTCCCCGTCCCTGTCCCTGTCCCCGTCCCTGNCGAGGGGCCGTGCTGGCTCACCATGACGCTGCGGCTGTTGAGGTGGTGCCGCGGGATGAGGGGCTCCAGCGTGTGCAGGAAGGCCATGCCCCGCGCGATGTCGAAGGCGAACTTCACCGCCTGCATCTGGTCCACCACAAAATCTGGGAATGGGGGGGACGGGGTCAGCCCACCCCAAGCCCAGCCAGGGCTGTGGCTGGAGAGGCTGCCCCAAACACGCCATCCCCCAGCACTCACTGGTTCCCTCGTGCAGGACGTTGTACAGGGAGCCGTAGGGCATCCAGTGGCTGATGACAATGGGGTGGGGAGCTGGAGGGGCCTGGCAGGCACCCAGCACCGGCAGCACGTTGGGGTGGGAAAAGATCCTGCAGGAGAAGTGACAGCCCTAAGAACAGGAAGGGGCTCCCTGCATCCCCTCATTGCCCTCTGCCACCCCCCAGAGCCTCCCAGCCCTTGGCCACCACGCTGGAGCGTTCCTGGCCCCAGAGCTGGGTATGCCCATACTCTGGCAGCTGCTGCTGGCCCTGAGAAGGTGCCCTGGCCAGGGGCTGGTGGGGATCCCAGCACATTCTGGGGTGGCTCCAGGCACGAGCAGCGCTCACCGCAGTTTTGGGTACTCCTCGTTGAAGTCCCGGCTCTTCCGCGTCGTCCAGTCCCGGATCCTCAGCATTTTGATTACGATGTCATTGCCCTGCCAGCGCCCCTTCCACAGCTGGGGGAGGAGCAGACACAGGCACTGAAAGCGGTGCAGAGGCCCCAGCATGCCCAGGCCCCTGTGTGGAGCCCACGGGACCAAGGGTCCGCAATGAGAAGGGAGCCCCTTGAGCTGGGGGGAGCTCCCTCCCTGCAGCTGCCATAGCACTGCAGAACGGCTGTGCCCAGCAGGGCCAGGACACGGCGTCTGCACAGGCACAGCGCCCACCGGGGCTGAGAGGGACCCACCTCTCCCGACTGGTTCTCGTTCAGTTTGTGGCTCAGGCTCAGCTGTTTGAAGTCAATCCCAGCGAGTTTGTTCAGGGTCCCGTTCCCTGCAGGGGAAGGGGGATGATGCCTCTGGCTGCTGGATCCAGGAGGCAGTGCCAGCAGGGCACAGGGGACCCATGGCACCCCCCAAGGGACCCCCAGTCCTTACTGGGCCGGGTGCGGGTTGTGCCCTTCCAGAACGTGTCCTTGTAGGGGATCTTGGTGAGGCTCTGGCCCAGCTTCTCAGCACGCTCTGCAGAGGGAGGAGGATGAGGAGGGTGGCACCCCAAGCCTGCTGTGGCTGGCTGGAGGCTGTGTCAGCTGTGGGGTCCTGAGAGACCCTCGTACCTTTCAGGATCTCTCGCAGTGGCGTCTTGGCCTTGTCTGTGGGGGTCTCACCATATTTGTTAGCAATGCTGACCAGGGCCCCGCTGCCCACCAGGTCCTGTGGGAGCAGGCAGCAAGGACTGTGGTTTGTGATGTCCCCTCAGTGCCCCTCCCACCCTGCCCAGGCTCCCACTCACCTCAGCCACCTGCTCGTGTCCCCAGAAGCAGGCATAGTGCAGCGGCGTGTTCCCGTGCTCATTCACTGCATTGATGTCTGCCTTGAACTGCATCAGCTGGGGACACAGGACAGGCCTGTGAGCCCAGGACTGTCCCTGTGAGCCCAGGCAATGTCCCTGTGAGCTCAGGACAGCCCTCATCCCCCTTGGGGGATGCAGGGGCAGCACACTGGGCACTGTAGGGAGGGGGCTGAACTGACGTGGGGCTCAGAGGGATTTGGAGGATTTGTGAGCAGTGGGGAGCTCAGGGATGCTCCTGGTAGTGACCAGGGGAGCAAGGCCCACAAGGGTGGTGTGGGGGGCTGCTCAGGGCTGGGTTGGGGGNTGCAGCCCCAGGGCCTTTCCGAGCTGCTGTGAGTGCTCCCTGTGTGCTCCCCAAGTCAGAGCTGGCCCCGCACTCCCAGCTCCTGGGGATGTCACTCCTGCTGTGTGCAGTGACTGTGAACTGTGTGAACCGTCCACGCCCAGGGTATCCTGGAGCAGGGATTTCATTGCTGGCACCACGCAGAGCAGCTGCCCTGCTCAGGTCCCATGAAGGAGGGCACAGCCCTCCTCCCCTGGGGATTTCCAGCTGTGCTGTAGCTCAGCTCCCACCCACGAGTCTCCCAGGGCAGCAGATGAGGGAGAGTGAGGGAACTGGGGAAAACAAATTGCCAAACAGCTTGCACAAACACAAACAGGGCACGGTGCTAGGGGCAGTGTCCCAGATTGGGAACTGGCTGGGCAGGTGAGCGCCACAGGACAGTGGCCCTGTCCCTGATGGTGACAGTGGCAGCAGAGTGCTGCCCTTCCCTCTGCCCTGACACAGTTGCAGGTGTGGGCAGGTGCAGGTGCACTGGTGTGGGTGGCTGAGAGTCAGTGGGGGTGGCTGGGGCTGTGTCCCCTGCCCAGTGGCGAGGCTGGAGGGCAGGGAGGCACCGGGCAGGTGGAATGTGTGGAGGTGGCACATGCACCACTCTGCTGGGACCTTTGCCACAGGAGGAGCCGAGGCCCTGCTGGCTCCACAGGTGCCCCCGTGGCTGCAGCCCTGGGCAGAGTCTTGGAGAGGGGTGTGAGTGCAGCCCCCTGTCCTGGCCTAACGATGGCCCTCTTGCCAAGCCCATGGGCTGAGCTGGAGCTCAGTGCCAATGTGAGGAGCCCCAGGCTGAGCTCACGGAGCTCCAGGGTGTGCTGTGGCTCTGTGGCCCACAGGAAGGAGCACTTGGGGCTGCCCTGCCCTGTAGGAAGGTGCTGGTGCTGCTGAGGCAGGGCTCCTCTCTGTCCCCCATCCCTGATGTCAGGGGACTTATCCTCGTGTCCCTTGCCCCATGTCCTTGCAGGGCGCCATGAGAGCCAGGAGCCCTTCTTGGCCTGGCTGGTGCTGCTCAGCAACATGTCCTCAGTGCCCTGGGTGCACTCAGTGAGCTACGGGGACGACGAGGACAGCCTGTCCTACGCCTACATGGAGCGCGTCAACACCGAGTTCATGAAGGCGGCGGCGCGCGGCCTCACCATCCTCTTCGCCTCAGGTGGGGCCGGGCTGGGGCTGGGGAGGGGCTGCCCGGTGCCAGGGGGTCCCCTGTCACCTGTTCTGTGCCGGCAGGTGACGACGGTGCTGGCTGCCGGCGGGAGCACAGCGGGAACCACACGTTCCGGCCCAGCTTCCCGGCCTCCAGGTGGGAGCCAGGGGTCAGTGCAGCCCCCGGGGCACAGCCAGCCCCAGCCCCACGGGGTCTGAGACCTCCAAGATCACCTGGGGTCCTCACCAACTTCTTACAGACCCCAGAGGTGCAGTCTGTGCAGCTCCAGGGGCTGGTTGGGTTTGTGGGGCAAGGCTGTGGTACCAGAGGGGGCTCTTGGTGGCTGCTGAGGCCCAGGCAGCCCTGTGCCCACCTGCAGTGTCCCCGTTTCCCCAGCCCCTATGTCACCACGGTGGGTGGCACGTCCTTCAAGAACCCCTTCCTGGTGACAGAGGAGGTGACAGATTACATCAGCGGGGGCGGCTTCAGCAATGTCTTCCCCATGCCTGAGTACCAGGTAGGGACCCCTGTGCTGCCAGCCCGGGGCTGCAGGGGTAGGGCTGGGGGGACAGGGGGCAGTGGGCACAGTGGGCAGTGGAGATGCCCACAGTGGGCAGTGGGGATGCCCACGGGCTGTGCCATCCCCAGGCCGCTGCTGTCGGGCGTTTCCTGCGCTCAGCCTCCAAGCTGCCCCCCAGCTCCTACTACAACAGCAGCGGCCGCGCCTACCCCGACCTGGCCGCGCTCTCCGACAACTACTGGGTGGTGACAAACCGCATCCCGCTGCCCTGGGTCTCGGGCACCTCGGTAAGGAGCTCATCCCCGCTGCCCTGGGTCTGGGGCACCACCTTGGTAAGGAGCCCATGCCCCGCTGCCTTCGGCGTGGCAGGCCTGGGCTGATGGGGTTGTGCCCACGCAGGCGTCCACGCCGGTGGTGGCAGGCATGGTGGCACTGATCAACGACCGGCGCCTGCAGCGGGGGCTGCCGCCCCTCGGCTTCCTCAACCCGGCGCTCTACCAGCTGCAGAAACAAGGGCTCAGTGATGCCTTCTACGATGTGAGTGGGGCAGGGAGGGGCTCTGCTGGGGGCTGACTTGGGTGTCCTGACGTGTGGGGCTAAGGCCTGGGGCGGGCCTGTCCGTGGGGCTGGGAAGGCCGTGTGTGCTCCTGGGGCTGTCCTGGGGCTCCTGCTCCCAGAGCTGTGCCTGGGGCAGGACAGAGTCCCCATGGCCTTCCCATGGGAGGGGTGTCCTGGTGTTCCCCTTGTCCTTCCCATGGGAGGGTTGTCCATGGGCTCCTGTGAGCTTTGTGGGTCAGGTCCCCTCGTGTGGCTGGGGCAGCAGCGTTCAGGGGCTGCAGAGGTGCCAGGGTGCAGCTGAGCATGCTGTTCCACATTGCCCGTGTCCCGAGGGGACCCTGTGCCATGGGGGGCGTTGTGCGGGTCCCCATGTCAGATGTCTGGGGCCCCTGTCCCTGGGATTCCCGTCTCAGGGATGGCAGGGACGGCTGTCCCTGGTTCCCGGGTACTGCAGGCAGGGTCCCTGTGCTGTCCCGGGTGGTCCCTGTGCCCTGGGGTCCCTATCCCAGGGCTGTGTGGGGCTCCTGGGCTCCGGAGGTCTCTGTCCCGAGACTCGGGGGGTCCCCGAGCCTCCGCACTGAGGC